AGTTTTAAGGAGAAATATTTTTGATCTTAAGGAATAACAGGGAATAGAGAAAGAACGTTTTTTATTTCCCAGGACTGCAAATGAAAAGTTGTGTCAGCCTTAGTAGAGATTTTACTGGGGTCTTGTCAGTCTGTCCTAGACTTACATGTACCCCACACATTGTGCTGCATACGTTTTTACAGTGTAATACATCACACGTAGGAAGTTGAGCTGTAAATATCTAGCGTCTGACAGTGTTTGAGTTATGAGTCTGACGTAGTTTTACGATGCACCCGGTCTCTGTGAAACTCCATGTTTCGCCATTAATCTGAACACAAGTTCAATATAGATTGAGAAAACAATAAGAAACCATTTTTAATCCACAGTAATGCAATGGCATATTTCATCACTAACTAGCTTAGACACAAGCTCAAGTTAACGAAAAAGGCAAGCCGAGGTTGGAAAAGGAGTTTTTGTTAACCTTTACAAATTACCCCCAAATAGATTGCTCATTGCTTTGCTGCAGTGTAACAAAAAGTTGTTTAACTAAAGAAAAAATAATTGTTTCTAGGTTTGCACTTGCGATTAATTAAATCCGTTATGTAAGAAAAACGTTTTTAATCTCACTTGGTTGGGATTTGCTTTCAAAACGTGATCGGAAATAGTTGTGGTATTTGTAAACAACATTTTTGTAAACATATCAGTGACAGCTAGAAAAAACAATCTTGATCCGAACAGCTGTTCGTTATTTCATAGATGTTTAAATGTGATAAAAATTGGACGATCTCTTGACAAAAATCGCACAAAACTGCATTTTTGAACGTCCGTAATTTTATTTACAAAGTAGTGAGGCCATATTTTAATGGCTAAAGACACTCTCGCCAATTCAGTGAATACATTAAAATGACTTGGATCTTGATAGGTACTCTCGTTTTCCTGGAGAAGATTGCGTAAAATGCCATCTTGAGTGTTACAGACAGATAGAAAGACAGACAGAAATTTAGATGAGACTTGTTTCGGCTTCTTTAATGTATAAAACGTAAAAATAACCTGAAAATTTATGATTCTGAGCAATGTACAGACAAAACTCTAATTTTATTTATATAGATGTTTACTGCTGATTTCTTTATTCGTCCAAGGTAAATTATTTTTCATTTCCGATGCAGAAAGTGCTATTTTCAACCCCATAAGTACGGTACTCTGCTAGTTGCATATCATGTCAAACACCAATGTATCAGGCACACAAATATTTTAATTAAAAATAGGTATTTACCTTCGTCTACAGCTCAATCTGTTGTAACTTGAGTTACGGCCGTTTCGGCATTATAATGCCATCGTCAGACGTTGAACATTCAGCTGAAGTAGCGTCGTCATAGTTGAAACACGAAACACGAACACGAATAACATTTTACTTTTACAATTAATAACGAAAACACAACGAACAGGCCTGTCGCACACACGGTACCGGTTGACATTGCCACGATCTGAACTGGATGCCGACTGGAAGTTAATCCTGCATCGTTCTTTGCGTAGTGGTGTTATCAGCTGACCTTTGTACTCCTGCTTTTTGTCTCTTGTCCTGGTCTAAAATACTATTGAAAATGATGTGTGATTTATATTGTAGTTTGTCATTTAATATTGTGTCATCAAAATTATTTTCTGTATAGGCTCTGTAAATTTCGTATTCTTCTAATGTGTCCAATTTATTTCCTTTCTTGCTTGTGTGGAGTATATCGAGGCCAGTGTTCAGATCATACATGTCATGGTTTTTATCAACCAGGTGTTGCGCAAAGGATGATTTTTGTTTGTCGGCTCTTGGACATGGGTGATGTTCTTTGTACCTGGTTCCGAATGTCCGTCCAGTTTTTCCTATGTAAAAGCTCGGGCAATTGGCACATTTAATTTTGTATACACCTGACTTCTCACTTTTGTCGATTACACGATCAGAAACGTTTAATTTATTAATTGTCTTGTTGTTGGTCTTGAACGCCAATTCGATACCATGCTTTTTCAATTCTTTCGTAAGTGAGTACTGAATTGAATACTCGTGTTTTCGTTATTAATTGTAAAAGTAAAATGTTATTCGTGTTCGTGTTTCGTGTTTCAACTATGACGACGCTACTTCAGCTGAATGTTCAACGTCTGACGATGGCATTATAATGCCGAAACGGCCGTAACTCAAGTTACAACAGATTGAGCTGTAGACAAAGGTAAATACCTATTTTTAATTAAAATCACAGCTCAGGGGCTAAAAATGGATTTTAACAAATATTTTGACAAGAAATCTAAATAAATTAATAGATCAAGTATATTTAATGTTTATGGTGGTTTAAAATGAACAAACTTTTTACTAAATAAGTTTATTTGACTGTTTAAAATCTAGGTTATATAAAATTGATGATAAATGCCACTTATTCTAGACTAGACTGTTACAAATAAAAGCTATGTGTTTCATAAAGTGGGTTACCGTACATACACACAAATAGTTTTACCTGAAATTGAAATGCTGTTTTAAAGAAAGTACAGTTATGATTTTGTTAAAGGTTTACCATCAAGGGTAAGTAACATCCACGATACTCGTTTTGTAATTACTTTCCCTTTTAATAGTTTATTTTATTCATTGAATCAAGAACACAACAATAAACTTGAAAATCAAAATATTATGGCATTTTGGTTCTTAACAATATTTTAGGTATGACAAGTTAATACTTTATTTCACTGTAAAAGATACTTTCAATGCTGAAATTTGGTTTTACAATTAAAATTGTGAATCGAGTGAGGATTTCTATTGTAAAATATGTGTTGCTCTACACAATAAAACTAAAAGTAAATAATAAACTACATGCATTTTCTGAGAAAATTAACTTGCAAAGTTTTTGCAATATGTTTGTTAAATCTTACTCAAAAATCAAGATTTTAAAATGTTTCTCAGCAAGATGGGTGTGAAATGGAAGACCGTTTTTTCAACCCTACAATTTGTAGAACCTTGATAAGATTCAAAAACATGTTCCACGAAAGAGATTATATATATTCTAAACATTAGATATAACATAGTTAAAACCAAACATAACGTGAATATAAATAAAACTACAAAAACAAAATACCATTAGGTATATTGTATACTGTATATCTAACCACTAATAAGGCACATCAGTTTTCTTACAAAAACGGTTAACATGACACGCACATATATGGCATTTTAATGCAACATTTCCACTGTATAAATAGGAAAAAATTATTAATATGGCATATTATCAGGCCAACTGCAATATGCAGTATGGTCAACTACTTATATTTAGTTTATAGCTTAATTAAGTAGTATCCAAGGCTTTAGGTTAAGTATTTTAGTCAATCAAAGTATTATCAATGCTTGACTGCAATATTTTACACGTAACCGCTAAATACACTATTTGAACATTTTTCATCAATGATATGTTAGCAATTATAATGAACATAAAGATTACCACCCTCTTTATCATTCTAGTATATGTCCGTGGAACACTGATGACAAGGAAATATTCAATAGTATTTTGGCAGTTTAATCACATAGTTTGAAAAGAGAACAACCAGACAAACCATTTTTTTACTATTACAAAATAACTACTGAGATAACTAAAATGAAAATCAGTCTTTTGGCATTTCAACAAAAATAGAAATAACACAGTTGTGTCATGGCAAATTAAGATCCCTTACTAACTTGTTTACTAGCTTGAAAAATTGATATGGTTAGGTAATTTTAATCACTAGCTACACCAATTAAGAAGATGTCTTTAAACACCAATTTAAAAAGAGAGTATTACCACTGATTAGATTGATGAACAACATGTGGCTTGTTTCACTTGGAACTGGTATTTCTAAAGCCTAGTCCACACATGAAGACTGGAACAGTAGGCAGACAGTCGGCCGACTATCTTTAGACATTGCTGGATACAAACGGCAACCCTACGGAGACAGTCTGCCAACAATGTTTCCGGAGACAAATCACCATGTGTGGACTAGGCTTAAGATACATTCTTGGAGTCCTTATAAGCCTTATGATAACATTAACTGTTATGTATATTTTTTATAGTGACATTGATATGGCATAGGTTATATCACAATAATATCATAACAATTTTGATTACTTCAGTAGAGTCCCGATTATCCTTGATGAGTGGCTGAATGATCGTGGATAGTGCAAACCTAACCTAAAATGTCCAGCAAATAACTAACATTACAGGTCTAGGATATTAAACAAATTTAGTGTATATGCCCTTTAAATTTGTTCAAACACAAACAAAACAAATAATACTGGAGAGCCTATTTTCCGGCTTAGTAATTGCAAAAGTGAAAACACACACGAGATGTAACTTATCAACTTATCTGTGGTCAATAAAGCAACTCTAGTCTGCCCAAAGATCATGGGCCGCTTCACACTAAATATGTAGGTCCTCGCTGTATATCGTATATTTTCCTTGTATTTAATATTTTTTACTTAGATTTTTTATCTTCAGCGTGGTTAGTCTGTTTGTGGATAATCGGGAGTCTATTGACCCGTTTGTTAAAATTTCAACATTACATTTCCATCACAAAGTTACAAACCAACATGTAAACACAACTAAAAACTGCCCTCGCATAAATAATTCCTAAAAATAGTGATACAATAATGGTGAACACAATCTTGAGTGTAACTCTTACACCATTGGCTTTAAACACTGACACAGACATCTAATCTTTATGGGGAAAGCTGCAACAAGTGAGTGTACTACTATTTAAGTTTGATATTTCTCATTTAGTTCTTCATAAAAAAGCAGAAATGGGGTACATAAAATGCTATGATTTACAATAGCTTTAACAGAATTGTAAGGGATAAAGTTCATCTAGCTTACTTGTGAAAATTAGAGTCCAGATGGTGATTGATACAAAATTCAAGATGGCGACCTGAATATTACACTGATATTATAAGTTTTTTTCATGTAAATTTACACCAAAATTTTCTCCTGATGTTTTTAATCTGCTTTAATAATACCCTGTATTTTGACAAAATATCAGTGTCAAAGTTTGTGAAATTTCACTCTCACTGTGCATCTATTAATTAGCCCCTGGACTGGGCTGATCTTGTTAATTCTATCCTTTTTCAAGTAAACTCTCAGTTTACAATAGATTGTAAAATATGTCTATGTCTATTGCGCTTTCCTTTTTGCATGATTAAGATGTCGGTCCACAAGAAAGATACCCATAATTTCCAGCTTCACACTGTGACGATAGCTAAACTGAACCTGGATGTCCTTTCTCATTCTGAAACATTTACATGAGACAGAGACAGTGTTTACATGTGAATGTAAAGTCTACACCATTAGAGTGTCTAAGTCAAAACTTATACAATACGAGTACTACAACTTAAATATTTGGTACTTATAGTGGTATTGTAGAACTACAGATCGTCTCTTGGCGGAGCTGGCAGGGTCACGGCGGGGGGAGAGTCCTCGGTGTCGCTGTGATAGCCTTCCTCATACAAGTATCTCACAGGGTAGATGATCAACGGCTCAGCAGAGAACACTTGCAAGTTACGCACAGGGAAGTTGGCTTTCCACTTCTCTCTGCAACACAGAACTTAACTTGACACAAACTTTGTTATGAAAGGACATTTAGAAGTCGATACATCTTGGATTACACTGGTTGTGCAAGATGTTGTTTATTATTAATTATGTTATGAAATGTGTATTTTACTTTTGTTCATATCATGTATTATTGTTATTACTATTATTATTTAGAGGTTAGCTGTAAGAAAGGACCATGAGGTCCTAAGTTCGCCTCAATAAAGAAGGATTTTCATTTCATTTCATCTCGCTTTGGCATCCTGTTAGTGAGCACAATTATATAGATCAGCTGAGTGGTCTTAGCACTTGAGAAGCAACACACTGAAATATCAACACCACCATAATGTACTGGTACTCATCAGGTTCCTATATTTCGTTCATAATATTTAGGCGGGTTTAGGGGAAGAAATCTCTTTCCACTTGACCTTTGCCTTTAAAATAATAGCTCAACAGCTGATTAAGCAACATAGATATTAAATACAAAAAAAGTGTTAGATGAACCTCCCCTCAAACCACCTAAATATTGTGAACGAAGTATAGTAACAACAGCCTCACCAGCCATTGCGTGACGTATTCCTATTGTAAAATGTATATAATTTTTTTTTTCTGTGTGTTAATGTAGAGTCTCAATTATCTGACCTTTGGTTATTTGGTCTTCTGTGTTATCCCGACCTTACGTATTATCTGACGATTGAATACCTTGAAATTGGTTTGCTAATTCTGATTGATATGACTGCACAGTGCACACCAAAACAGGTGCATCAAGATCACCCCTTTTGCTGCCCCAGGATTAGGAAAATATGTGCAAGGCTATTAACGACCTACCCTCAACTGAACTTCCCTGTTGTTTTAGCACACTGCATACCATAAATTGGCCAACTGCACTTCCCTCTTTCCACACACATCTTAGTGATCGTACAAAGTGAATCCTTTCCCTGAGTGTAGGAGTGTTGCTTTGTCTCATTTTATAGTAACAATGTTGGTGTTTTAGTGTTTTTTTGTTGATTATTTTTACGTTATTTGTGATGATTTGCGATCCACTTTACTAGCAGAAATTGGAAAAAGGTTAACAGCTGATTTGTTAAAAGACAAACTTAAAGCCCCGAAAGGGTTTGTCATTGAAGATCTCGTTGCTAGCGCACAGACCACCTATGTATGTATGTTGTTATTTGGAAATTATATTCTTTGTATATTTCTTCCTTGTTGGAATGAAATGATTTAGATTTGGTTTGAGATATTCTAAATTGTTTGCTTATCTGATCTTGATACAGCCATATAATACAGGATGTGTTATCGAAACAAGTTTATCAATGACTTACTCTGTATGCTTGTCGTACAGTATGGGTAAGTACTCGTCCACTGGTAGCAGGTTAGACAACGGGTCGGCTTCCAGCAGTTTCTTGGCCCCAGACCTAGACAGCAGGTAGCCCAGGGTCCAGTACGAGTAGTTGGGCTTCACCAGCATCTTGGAGCCTGGCACAAACAACTCATCCTTCTCTTGCAGCCTCTTACGGCCCAAGTATCTGTAAAAACAAGGAACACAAGATCAGAGGTGGACTTGGCATTCTTGTGAATGGTGATTACGTTTTGTATGAACAGTAGGAATAAACAAACATTGTTTTGTCCTAAGGTGTTAGGCAAGTCCCTGGAATAGTTTTTCACATTACTTTTATATCTAGGGGTTGTGGCATTATCACTTGGATATAATCAATTGGTGATTTGGCAGGATTTTAACACAAGACCTCACGGACCAAAGTCCCGCACTCTAACCACTAGACCAGCTCAAGCCCCAATAAACAGAATTTTTTTGCCTTGATATCAAGATCATGTTATTATTTTGTCTCTCATTCGGAATTTCTCAAGCACTACACAATTGTGACTTAAGACAACAGATGATAGTGGTATGATGCAGGTCAACAAATTGCACTAAAATAAGCAAATATAATCGGCAAAAGTCCTGTAATCTGCAAAACTTAGCGTTAGCACCCAATAAGCCAGCAGGCCAGATTTCTTGAGGATCTCATTAAGATTTGTTGGGATTTTGTACATTGCACAAAACCTGACAACAGGGTTGTTTACCCTTGGCAACCCTGAGAGCAAACTACAGATCCCAGTAGCTTGGATAGTTACATAGTACATTGCTAGCGCTACTTGCAAGCATTAAGACGGGGAAGATCAGAGTTCTAGCCAGTAGCCTAGGTCAGTCAACGCAATAACGGTCCATAATCAAGAATTTAAACCCCAGAAAGTTCCCTTTTACTGGATAACCTGGCCTTTTTTTACTTAGAACCCGTCTAGTCCACATTATGCCAAGTGTGTGCAGTGGGACTGTACTATAGGGATTTACAAAATGTTGACTATAATTTTTTTTTGTAAATCATTTATAGTTGTGAAAAATACAGAAAGAATCATGAGAACTGATAAATGAGGTCCATGAAAAAAACTTGGGATTATTACTAATTTTGTTTAATGATTTACTAATTTTTTTATATAATTATTTATCTATTTCTAGAATAAAATAGAAAATTGCAAAGATTGAATACTTACACCAAATCCCAGCTGAGATCTAGAGTTTTCAGTTCCTCCAACAAAGACTCCACTTTTTGCCGAAAGAACGGTTCAAATCGAACATCATCTTCCAACACCATGACTACTTCATTCGTACTTTCAGCAACCTAGCAAGACATTTTCATTTTAGACTAAAATCAAACAAAAATTTTTTAAATAAATAAAATGAGAGGTAAGAAAAACTGGATTTAACTTGTTGACTAAATTTGAAATCACTTATTCTCCCAAAAAAATGTATTCCAAAAGTTATTAATTATGCAGCAAAAAACTTCTTAATGGACTTCCTTTTAATTGGATTAAATAAGTTTTATATTGAATATACCTCTGTTTTGCAATATTAAACCCAGTTTTGCACACAATATTCTATTTTTGGTTTTTTTTTACTTTTTAATGCTTTACTATATTAGGTAGTTCGTATTTTTACAACAAATTAGCTTAATCTACAAAGTTTTTTTTTTGTTTTTTTTTTTTTGTTTTTTGTTTTTTGTACCCATAAGCCCCCTAGACACGATCATTGCGGCTTGACAGCACTATTAGAACAGCTGAACTGATGCCACACACACTATCGCATCGTTTGGACAAACTTATGCATGTACACAGTCGGCTTGTCAGTTTGGGTTGTTCACATTGAATTGATAAGCCAAACTTGACGGACTTTAGTTAATCAGAAAAAAAGTCTATCAATAAGGTTTTCAAGTTATAGATTCAAAGTGTGTATACAATTTTTAATAAAATCTATAATAACAAGCTGCTACCAGTGCTTTGCAACGGGAAGAAAATGTGACCTAGAGAGTATTAAAGTGGTGCTGATGTGTTTTAAAATACAGCCACTCTATGATTTAGTTTGAAAATATAAACTGATTCAAAAGCGTAAACCTACTTACTTTCAAACCTCTACTTTTGGTGTTAATAGATCCATAAGAATATGACAACATGTCTTAGTGTAGCAATAGCATCAATTGTTTCATATTAATGCTTCACGAATGACATTTTTTACCATAATTCTTCAATTTTAGTCAAGCCTCTTCACATGTAGCTTACTATAGAAATTTAAAAAATGAAACTTTGAGCAATTCTTTACAAAACGTATACAACCTCACTTTAAAACCAAACATAACCCTCTTCAATCTACATAAAGCGTCACAAAAATCTTTTTTGAGTAAATAAACAAACACCAGTTAATTTTACTAACCAGCTGTTTCATTAACTAAATTAAATTTGGAAGCATGCCAGGCGTAGCCCTTTGGAAATTAGCCTGTGGGGCAGAGCCCTTAGGAAATTCGTCCATATCAATACTTTTCGGCAAATCTACACACTCTAAGCTTCATTTTGATGTGCCATATGTCTATATTCTTATTTGGTAAATGGCCTTAACCGTTTACATAAAATTTGATTGTATCACTTTAATAATATAATAGATTCATAAATGACTGAAATACATAATAATTCATCATAAAAAGCTTGTGTTAAGTGATTAACATATGCAAATGTAAAAAAAATATAAAGATCCAACAAAAAAAAACTTAAATCAAATTTAACCTTACTAAATTGACTTGGGTGTCAACATCTCATTACTCCGTAAAAAAATTAAAAGTTCAATATTAACAGACATTGTATAGACAAGTCCGAATAAATATCATTCCAACAACCAGAAGTTATTATTTAAAGAATGTTATGTAGCAGCCACACCACAAACAAAACCTCAGTTTCTATTGTTTGCATGTAATTTAATCTGCCTCCTCGCAACGACTCTCTGGCACATTTTAATATATTCATTGTTACCACAGTTTCTATCTATATTCATGAAGTTATACAACTTCCATACAAATTTTTACTAACTTTTTAATCTATAAGAATAATTGCATTCAAATTGAAAACCAATGTATAGAAAATGTTCGTGTATAGCACTGCTCAAGAATAAATTATCTGAAAATAAATTTTGAATTGATTTGTTCATGTTCGTTTCTGTTGCGCGAATACCACAAATCATCGCCTTAGCTGAGGTTTGTGTGAGTAAATATAAACCAAATTTTATTATTTGAGATTACATTTTATTTGGTTTCATTAAGTTCCATGAATTATCTCCCCAGTTGCAGTACTTTTCCAATAACAAGGTTTTTTAACTATATTTTATAATCATCAAATTCCTATCAGTTAACTTTTGGACGGGTGAAATGGTTTTTCGAACCAACAAAATTAAAAGCTTATTGTCAGTTTCTATAAGAAAGTTAATACACAAAAGAGAGCATTCTCAAAATTTTCAACAATGTTATTCATTGAAAGGAATAAGAAAATTGGCAAAAGACACATCACACTTAAAATTAAGACAGCTTGAGCAAGCTCATCAATTAATACTTAAATCTAAAACACCTTCCGGTCTAAATTTGAGATAGTATGTAAAACTTATTTTCTTTCTTTCTTTCTATCAACATTTTCTTTTTTACTTCTTTATAAGTTATATGTATTTTGGATTTTTGCTGAAATCATCTGATTCAGAGTGGTTAACACTTATATTTGTTATTGTTTGTTTGTTCCTGAAGAAGGCTTATGCCAAAATGTAGAACTTATTTAAAAAGTTGTAACGACCCAAAATCCGTCAAGGGGTAAAACCCCGATTTTTAAAAGTTTCATTTTAAGTATTATAATTTTCTACGTTCGGGGTAAGTCGCACCCGCGTTATCAGCGGCATCGTAGGGGCAAGGGTCCTACGTCATCGTAGAGGGGAGGACGCTAGTTACCTACCCCGCTGCCAAGGGCGATGGCGAAGAAGGACCAGAAGAGCAGACCTCATGGTCAGTTGTCCACTTGCTACCGAACCGTCAGTACGCCAGAGGAGATAGATCCAACAGTCCTAACTTACGAAATTCTGGTCAGTTAAAAGATTTCCCCCGTTCCTGGTAGAATCCTAAGGCATCAGGTTAGTGTGCTACCGAATTTATTTTGTTTAATCTCATTTTTAGAGAAGTTTTATTATTTTTATTTTATTGTGCCGCAGTCGCGTGCACCCCACACGCTTTTTCACGTACGAGCACACTACCTTTTTGTCTTAAACCAGCTTCGGAAATCATTTAAGTTGCCAGAACGGTTTACGTACAAATTATTCCGTTACCCTGAACGTCCTACCTCTGACTATTAATACAGCAACTGTATCTAATAGTTAATGGTCCTACGTAAGTTTGATTTAAGAAACCCCGTATCGACTCTGGTGATCGACCGAGTTTAATTTTCCCGACACGTTTACTTTGGTGATTACCAAGTGTAACGAACAAACCACGTTTAGGTTAAGTTTCCAATAAATTAGGCTTATTCGCATTCATCGTAGGTTAGCCAAAATTCTAAATTTAACTTTACATATTTTTCGAGTGGCTATGATGAGCACTTGTTGAAGGTAAGCTTAACATTGTAAGCATTATTTTTGTAATTAATATTCTGAAGCAATAAACTTGAAACGATAATTAAATAACGAACACGTTAGAGCCCTGGACTATCTCATTGTAGGCTAAGCTATCTGGACAAATTATAAGGTGTGACCTAATTTCAGGTGGGACGACAATTACGTACTTAAAATCTAATTTTGTCTCTCAACCCGAAATTTCGTCATAAAGTGTGTGATAAGTTTATTTTGAAAAAAATATATAAAAAAATGTATAAGAAAGTTAAATGATATTATTTAGTTTTATTTTAATTAAGTTATTGTATTGGTAACATCAAAACTGCTGAAAATATGCATTAGGTGTAAAAATATAACAAATTTCAACATTAAAGTCAACCAGAAAATACATTAAAGTCAATCTCTGATAGAAATACAGATGAATTTTGCAAATATCTACAGAGCACTAATAATAATTTTGTATTTAACCCCGCTTTAAACCCCAATGAAAATTACAAGAGTTTTTTGAGAATTTTTTTATTATCTTTCAATCATATATTTCCTGTTAAATCACTAAAAAAGAATGCTAAAACTAATAAATCTACTATGAATTGGGTAACCCAAGGTATAAGAATTTCCAGTAAGAGGAAACGAGAATTGCACTTGGAAGCCAAGTTTAGTAGAAACCAAGAGTTTTTATCCTATGTAAAGCAATACAAAAAAATATTTAATAAAGTTGTAAAAAATTCAAAGATTCTCTCAAATAATAACCTAATTAGAAAATCTGAAAACAAGTCTAAGGCAGCTTGGCAAATTGTTAACAATGAACTGGGTTTAAACCGTACTCAAAGATACAAAATTATTTTAAAAGATGATACAAACCAAACCACTGTTGATAATCCTGATGATGTAGCTAAGCTTTTTAACAGTTTTTTCTGTAATACAGTTATTAATCTGAATGTAAAAAAGGCTTCTGTCAATGGTGTTCATTCGTCTGTAAAATCATACTGCAGTGATGGTGGGGTTACATTGTGCAATCTTAGCCCCACTAATAAAGATGAAATAAAAAAGATCATCCTTTCTCTAAAGAACAAAATTTCAGTAGGCTGGGACGAAATCCGAATTAAATTGATCAAATCTGCTGCTGACATTATCTCCGAACCCTTATCTCTTATTATAAATCAGTGTTTAAAGAATGGTATTTTTCCGGATCAACTTAAGTACTCCCAAATTTCTCCCGTTTTTAAGAAAGGTTCAAAATCAGATATTAATAACTACCGTCCAGTATCAGTATTAAGTAATTTTTCTAAAATATTTGAAAAAGTAATAAGCTATAGACTAGTTAATTATTTTGAAAGTAATAATTTATTTTACAATAAACAATTTGGTTTCCGAAAAAACTTAAGCACAGTTTCTGCTCTTACTCAGTTTGTTAATGAGATTGCAGAGGCCTTGGACAGGTCTCAGGCCACAGCAGGTGTTTTCTGTGACCTGACTAAGGCTTTTGATTGTGTGGATCACTCACTCCTGTTGCTAAAACTTATTGATTATGGGATTGGGGGAAGTTGCTTTTCTTTAATACAATCTTACCTTTCTGAAAGAAAACAAAGAACTTTAATTTTAGAAGATAACAACAAACATTATTCACCATGGGAAATTATATCCACAGGTGTTCTCCAAGGCTCAGTATTGGGCCCACTTTTTTTTCTTATTTACATTAATGATCTTCCAAAAGGG